TGTGATACTGCACAATGTTGATTTTCTTTGACATCGGATTGAATTGAAAATTTGAGGGTGCATGTGCTCACCTTTGTGTGCCTAAAAAAGATATAAAAATAATTCTCAAAAATAAAATAACTAAAACACTTCTAAAATGTTTGTAATAAATTTTTAAGGGTGTGGCTTCTATAAAGTTTCGAACTTAAAAAATCCAATTAAGGTCTCCAAATTTTTTCATATCATGTATTTTTGGTGTAAATAATTCTTAAGATACCTGAAAATCTATTTTCATATTTAATTATAAAAGTTTAAACTCCAAAAATAGTTAAAATCAAGTAGATCTATAAGCATATGAAAATCTTAAAAATGGATGGTTTAGATAACGTATTACAAGATGCACTATTTATAGAACTCAAATTTTTTTTATTCATATCCATACATCTCGATATCGAGATGATCAAGTTGAGGGTTTTTCAATAATAAAACAACTTTTTATGATGGATTTTTGAGCCGCATCTGTAATTCTACATTTTAAGGTTGCAACCTTACATAAACTTTTTCCTATAAGGGTGAGGTGCACGCACCGTCAAAATTTGAGCTCCATCCAATCTAAAAAAGAAATAAAATTCATATACTAACACAAACTAAGATCGTATAGTTGGAGACCATTGTAAGACTCTTTTTTAAAAAAATAATATTAATGATGAATGTCATAATATAAAGGAGCATAGCGCCATAGTTACAATAGAGAGGAAGGAATAGATGACTACAAGATGTACTCTCTACTTCCATAGATGAACCGGTGATGACTTAATCATCATCATAGTCTTTTTCTAATTAATTGGGGTCAGCTTTACAAATCTCGGTCTGTCATTTTGCTATATTAAAAGTTATACCTTTAGTGAAGCCATAAGTCTATATATTTTTTCATATTATTTTTAACCACGTCTTTTTGGGTCTACCCCTTGCTCTTTTAAGTCGGTCCACATGAATTAACTTATACCTCCTAATATGTGTTGTACTTGATTAGCACTACATATGGTCAGCCCACCTAAGTCTACTCTCTCTCATCTTATCGCCTATTAGTACCACACCTAAATTCCAAATACAAAATACAACTCTAACTTGGAAGGATCTAACTCCACCCCCTGAAGACCCCAAGTACTCCCCTACAAAGCACTCCCAAATTCATGAACTCCCAACCCAAGCCAAGCTTCTCAAGGGAACACACCATATGCATCTTTCTTTCTGCAATCACCTCAAGGGTTGGGTTTGAAGCGGCACGCAACCTACATTGCAACGGCACCCATTTGAATAGCAAGCAGATCATGACGATGTAGAATAAGGTGGCGGAGCACAACTAGCGATCGAAAAATAGTAATAAAAGATTGGTCTAAAGAGAAGCTAGAGTGAGTGAAAAGAAGAAAAAGGGAGAAAAGAACAATTTTTATGCTGGCAATGATCTTGTATCACCATCTCATTATAATATAATGAAACACATTTCTAGAAAATCATATTTGCGCCATTTATATGACCCCAAATTTTGTATACACACTATCTTGATCTCAATAACCAATTTAAAGAAAAAAAGATAAAGTTCAATTTGCACCCTAGATAGGGTAAAAATAAGTCCCCTCTAATATTGAATTTAACCATCCATTTGGTGATTATCTTGATCTAGGCCTTTATGAAATCAAAATCGAAATTTCTTTTTGGACATTGTTAATTTAATGATAATAAAGCTATCTAAAAAATATATAAATAAAAAGTCATTTTAAGGCCTAGTCTAAGCATCCCACTAAGATAGATGACCTATACTAATTGGGCTAAAAGAAGACTTTGTACAGTGTGTTTTAAAAACACTTTACAAAATTGCAACCTTATTCTATAGAAGAAGGCACACCTTAAAAATCCACGAAAATAGGTTGTTCTAACATTGAAAAACCCTCTAATTGATCATCTCGACCATGAGATGAATGGATGTGAAGAAAAAAGATTTTAAAGTCCCAAAAATGTACATCTTGTAATACATTATTTAGACTATTCATAGATTTTCGTGTGTTTGTAGATCTACTCAATCTATACCAGTTTTGGATTTTAAAATTCGTAATTCAATGTGAAGTAGACTTTAATGGCATTATTAAAATTTTTGACACCAAAATTACATATTTTCGATGAGGTTTGGATGTGCGCCTTATTTGTGTTGAAGGTTGACACCTTATACAAACTACACCTAATATTAAAATATATTGTGAATGGTAGATTTACTAACATGGGGTGTGTTTTTTTTAAAA